GTGTGACGATGCAAGTGTGAACTAATTGTCACTCGAATGACGACGAACTCGTGAACTAATCGTCACTCGAATGACGATGCAAGCGCGAATCGTTTGTTACTCGAATGACGACGCAAGCGCGAATCATTCGTCACTCGAATGACGACGCAAGCGCGAATCGTTCTTCACTCGAATGACGATGCAAGCATGAATCATTCATCACTCGAATGATGACACAAGCGTGAATTGTTCGTCACTTTCATAAGTAGGTAACAGTCTAATGTAAGTAGACAGCAATATATATATATTGCTGCCTACTAGAGTGATTTACTTATTATAAAAAAAAGTTTTAAATAGAGATGCTATATATTCGCACTTATAGTAAAATTTATATAAAAAAAAATTTTTTAACCAGGTGACTGGAGAATCGCCTATTAAAGATATTTTTATTATTGTTGACTTGCTAAAATATAGTAAAATAGGCCATATCAAATTTGTAAAAAAATAAAATTGATAAAAAGATTTAAAAATATAAATTTTCTTAAAAAAATTTGTAATTTTCGCAATAGCAAAAAAATAATAAAATAAACTCCAAATTTACTACAATTTATTATAATAAAACAAATAGCTTCTATTTTTTATACTATTTCCTTTATTAAAAGTGTTTTTATCTCAAGTTCAGAGAAGTATTGTACCGGGTCTGTGGTCTACCAAACAACTACTGAATTTGCTAAATATAAGTTTAAAATATTTTATATAAGAAAATCATTGCTTATTGAAGAATTGACTAAAAAAACCATCATAATAATAATTAGTAGTTTTGCATTTGAAGATGAGTTAAATGTAAACATAAAACCCAACTTGTTTATACTTGAGGTGCAGGCAAATTGCCTCAATAATTACAGTAATCTTGCTAAATATATTATTAGTTATAATAGCATGTTACAGTAAAGTTATAGCAATCATTGGGATGATTTGCCTGCACCTCTAGTTCATATTAATCTATATAGAAGAATATAATGATTAATTTAATTTCATATTTAAAATTAAGGTTATGGTTTTTCAAAGTGTATCTTTGCAAATTAAAACATTACAAAATGAACCTAATATTTACGATCTGCCAATTGCACCTGCTTTTGGAATTTTTTCTACACCTGTTCAAGACTCTTCTGAACCACATGGCAACAGTGCAATCTTTCGTTTAAAAAAGGGAGTCTATAATAGTATGAATGGAAAAACTACTGATTTGTTAGTTATATGCAAGTATAATCCGAATCCGAAAGGTCGCTATTCGAATGTAGCTAAAGCTACACATCGTCAAATTGTTTTTTCTGTTGCTGGTGAACTAATTTTTGTTGAGAAATCTGTTTTTGTGTTATGTGAAGCAATAGAATGAAATTATTATGTAATGCGAGAAAATTCAAAATCGCAGTTATGTGATGGGACAGAACCTGTAAAAAAAAAAAGAAAAAGAGATGAGGAGCTAGTGAAAATTGCAGAAGTTTTTAAATCCAAAAACCAACATCAACAAAATAAGA